CAAGAAAGCACAGCAATGCCTATACTTTTTCGGAAGGCTAAGGAAATTCGGCATGTCCACTCTTACTGATTTTTAAAGATGCACCATAAAAAGCGTCCTATCCGGATGCATCACAGCAAATGGCAACTGCTCTGCCTGAGATTACAAAAAACTACAGACAACTGCGAACACAGCCCAGTCCATCACGAAAACCAGCCTTCCTTCCACTGGCTCTGTCTACGCTTCCCGCTGTCTTCAGAAAGCAGCCAACAAAATCAAGGTCCCCTCTTACCCTGGTTATATTCTCTTCCACCCTCTTCAATCGAACAAAAGGTACAAAAGTTTGAAAATATGTACCAACAGATTTAAGAACAGCTTCTCCTCCGTTATTATCAGACTTTTAAATGGACCTCTCATTTCTTAAAGGTGATCTTTCTTTGCACCTTCTCTGTAGCTGTAACATTGTATTCTGCATTCTGTTCTATTATGCTGATGTACTTATGTGTGGTATTATTTATCTGGATAGCACACAAAACAATATCTTGATACATGTGACAATAACAAATCAAATCAAATCAATCAAAACAAGTCAAATCCTTCAACCTGATCAAATATAGGCCCAAATAGGAGAAAAAAAAGTTTAAAAAAATTTAAGGAACACAGGAGAAAGATTTAAAAAAGACACGAGGGGCATTTTTTTTCACACAGTGTGGTTTATGTGTGGGATGAACTTCCAGAGGAAGTTGTGGATGTGGGTACAGTTATAATGTTTAAAAGACATTTAGATACGTACATGAATAAGAAATGTTTGGAGGATATAGGCCAAGCGCAGGCAGGTGGGATTAGTTTAGGTTGGGATTATGGTCAGCATAGACTGGTTGGACCGAAGGGTCTGTTTCCGTGCTGTATGAATCTATGACTGTGAACAGGAAGGATGAGAGATCAAGTGATGCATCAAAATGTTAAAATTGCCAGAAACAGTATGGAGAAATATAAAAAGGAGCAAGAGCTATAATAAAACACAAAATTTAAATATGTTAATAACAGACAAAGAACAATTGGGCCCCTGAAAAGCAGTGAGGCTAGAGAGCAGAAAAAGAAGAGGTATGTGCAAATATTACATTTTTTATGAGCACATGAGCAAGGAACAAGAGTAGGCCATTTGGCCCTTTTGAACCTGCAGCACCATCTTATTTTAACCTCATTCCTACATATCGTCCAATAATCTTTCTTTTGCTTGGTAAACAAGATTCCATTTACCTCTGCCTTAAAAATATTCAAAGATTCTGCATTGACTGCTTTTTGAGGAAGGGAATTCCAAGAGGTCACAAAACTCAGATTTTTTATTTTGATCCTCATCTCTGTCTTAAATTAATAACCTCCTATTTTTAAATGATGATCCCTGGTTTTGGATTCTGCCAAAAACAGGACACATGCTTTCAAGATCCATCTGGTCAACTCCCCCCAGGATCTTATATGTTTCAACTAAATCACCTCTGACTCTTCTAAACTCCAGAGCCTAGGCTGTCTAGCCTTTCCTCATAAGGCAATCTGCTCATTTCAGGGATTAGTCTGGTAAACCTTCTCTGAACTATTTCTAATACATTAATATCTTTCCTTAAAATTAGTACTGACACCTTTTTTATGACACCTTCACCACTGAAAAATGATAAGCCTTCTTTTAACAAAGATGCATCTATATGCCTTAAGTTCCATGTAGAAAATAGAGATTCACAGATGAAACTATTGTTAAAAACTGGGGCATTTGAATAGTTATCAGATGAAAATCTGGAATATGTTCAGGAGGAAGCTTAGGCAATGCAGCCTGTACGAAAGAAAGGTGTAAATTTTCACTGCTTATCAATTATGATGATTATCTGATACAGTATTCCCATCGTGGAGGGTTATTCATCCAAGGCACAGCCACAAAGAACCAAAATACATTCCCTGCAAGGGCTGGCCCTCACTGGGAGCACTGATTTTTTTGAATCAACTAGAGCAGATGATTGGGAATTGCTATCTTTACAATTAATTTAAAATATCAGAAACATAGGTCCAATTGTTCCCAAATCACACTAATATCTATCAAGAGAAAGGCACTGGGCTATAGTGGAAAAGAACATTTACCATGATTGTAGGCAATAATTCATGGATAACAGGAGTTAATAAAGGGAAACAGTAAATGCATTCGTTATTAATGGCACAGTTTTAAATAGGCAGTTTTATATGTTTATTAGTACATCACATTCTGCCCTGAAACTACTGCTCCTCGCAATATTGACAAATAATTCTGATCAAGATACTAAAAACAGACAGTCTATGTTTGCAGGCTATATACATATCAATCTCTGAAAGAAAGTAAAAGAGTTAGTAGAACACTGCATTAGCATGTAAAACTGAAGTGCACAATTTTGGAGGTAGAGTACACCGACATGGATAGAGAAGTGGTTGACAGACAGGAAACAAACAGTAAGAACAAACTGGCCTTTTTCTGAGTTGCAGCCAGTGAATAATAGTGTACCTCAAGGATCTGTACTTGGGTCCCAGCTGTTCTCGATACATATTAATTATTTAGGTGTGAGAACTAAACGTACTATCTCCAAGTTTGTGGATGGCACAAAGCCGGTGAGTAGGTGAACTGTGACGAAAATGCAGAGATAGTTCAATGTGATTTGGACAAGATGAGTAAATGGGCAAATGCATGGCAGATCAGGTATCATGTGGATAATGTGAGGTTACTTGGTAGCAAAAAACAGGAAGACAGATTATTATCTGAATGGCAACAGATTGGGAAAGGGGGAGTTATAACAAGACCTGCGTGTCCTTGTATATCAGGCGCTGAAAGTAAGCATGCAGGTGCCGCAGGCAGTGACAAAGGTAAATGGTATGTTGGCCTTCATAGTAGAGGATTCAAGTACAGGAGCAGGGATGTATTTTTGCAACTGCATAGGGCATCAGTGAAACCGTACCTAGTGTGTTGTTTAAGTCTCCACATCTGGTGGAGATGTTCTGACTTTGGAGGGAGTGCCACACCAGGCTGATTCCTGGAATGGCAGCATTAATGTATGAAGAGAGACTGGATCGTCGGGATTATATTTACGGGAGTTTAAAAGAATGAGGGGGATCTGATAGTAGCCTATAAAATGTTAACACGATTACAGAGGGCAAATACAGGAAGGATGTTCCCAATGACGGGGGAGTCCAGAACCTGGATGGGGGGGATGGTGCTGGTGGTATAGGCCATTTAGGCCTGAGTCGAGGAGAATTTTTTTCATCCAGAGAGTGATGAGCCTGCGAATTCCCTGTCACAGAAAGTGGTTGAGGCCAGAAGGTTGCGTGTTTTAAAGGAATTAGACATAATTTGTAGTGCTTAAAGGATCAAAGGGTGTGGGGAGAAAGCGGGAACAAGTTTGGCAGAGTTGGATAACAAGCAATGATTATAATGAATGGTACAGCAGGCTCAATGGCTGAATAGCCCACTCCTGCTCCTATTTTAATATTTCTATTTATAAAGATTTATAGACATTTAATAGGTGAATATAAATATCTTGCATGGTAGTTAAAGCTGATAACCATGAGCTAACACATCCATTTTGATATTAAAATGAGCTGCTTTAAAACAAACACTAAACTAGAAGTATTGATTTGAATAACAGTCACAAAACCAAATAAGATACTATGGGATGCCAATTTAGTTCCTAGAATATAAATACATTGAAGCATTTTTCACAGTTCTGTCAGTAAGATTCTGCCTTCTGAGTTGTTACAGTGAAATCACAGATGGAGCTGTTTGAACATTAAGAGGAGAACTGGCTCAACATTAGGTTCAGCAAAAGGAAGTGGCAATAATATGGAAATTGTCAAAGATAGTCATGGGATCCTCGATACATCAGAATAGATAGGCTAAACAGCCTTTTTCACCACCTTCATTCTTAAAACAATAACAGACATGCGTAGGTGACCTGATGGCATTAGCTCCACTGAGGGCCTAGTCACAATGGTAAGTTTAAAGAGATAAACCTTCATTTAATCCCATTCTTGAAGGAGAATTAACAGCATGTCTGCAGCTAGCCAAGTGTGTTCAAGGTCAGTTACGATAATCTGTTGGCAAGCTCTGAATACAGGCTTTCACTTTGCCCATAAATAGCAAGATGTGTTGTTTGTTTTACGTACTTCATAACGATAAAAGTTTAAGTGGACTTTCTGGCTTTGGGTTTAATGTTACTTAATAAGATGCTCAACATTCAAATAATTTAGATTCATTAATCTTCACTTGTTTCTTATATGTGTGTTGACAACTCTATCATCTGCTAAGCATTTTACTGATTAAATCAGCATCTCTGCAACAGTTCAGTAAATTTCAAGTAGCACTTCTCATTAACATATTCAGAAATTAAATGAATGGAATACTCTCTATTAAATTAAAACTTAACCTTCACACATGTTTTAAATTATTTCGCTTTACTAGGATTACCTGTGATATGCTATGGTATAATTCAGCAAAGTGGATCGCCATGTGTTGACTGGCCTTCACGCAGTTCAAAGATGCCTTGTTGTAATTCATCATGAGAAAGAAAAGCTGCCATACTTTGTCAGTAGACTTTACACCTGAGACATTTAGTGTTTCCACACCCAAGGTGGTTCTCGATCCTGAGCAGACAGAATCGCCCCCAAAACATCACAGGTTTTCCAACCATATGCAGGACCAGCAAGCAAGCAATTGTTTGCACAGAGCTGTGAATGCGATTTGCCTGATCTACACAACACCTGAAAATGCATTCTGAAAATTTCAGATACAGTTTGTGATTCAAAGCAATGGTATCAAAAATTATAAAACTTGCCAATGAGCAAACATTACCAATCACAAAAAAATACAATAACCTCTTCACCAAACAACAAAGTAATGCTGTGAGGTGAGGGTTTGAACAGAACATGTTTCTTTCTGATTGTACTAAAATGATAGGAACTGTTAATTTGATCATCCAAAGGTATGAACTATAACAATTACATTTGATACTTACACAAATGGTACAATCCCTGTATTGGCCATTGCATACGACAAGCCTAAGAGCCCAGTGCCAATGATAGCATTGCTCAGGTTAAACACAGACATATACATGGAAGTTGATCCTGCATACTGAAGATAACAGAGAGAACATTAATGTGACTTTGTCTAACAAATAGGATTTGGCTCAACAAGCCTCTCGTGTGTAAATAGACACAATTACATCTTAAATGTTCATCAGAATTTTAAACATTATAAATTACATGACATGTAACTAAATTATAATAGCAAACTGAACATTATAGTGTAGGTTCAGTGTAACATCTCAACTAGATATTTGATTTGCATGAAGGGTTAATCCATTTTCTGTTGCATGATACATAATTTATAAAGAACATGCTATAACCTCTATTTGTGTTACATATGTGAACAAGTTACACAATAATGAAAAGGATTCATAAAATAACATTAGCACTAGGGCAACATTTTTTGTGCATTTTATAAGATAGCTAGCAATTACAATGTGCACTGTTCTATGTGAATTTGGATTGCTAATTGTATTAGGTCTTACTGAACACAGTTGAGGATTTTTTAAAGTCTGTGCTGCTGGAAGGGTGCTTTAGCTGGTGGCAGCACACAGGTCTACATGACCCAAGATTTCAAGATCAGTAAAAGAAATGAGCAGAATATCAATAACTCTGTATTCCCCATTCATCTACAGAGGCTCCTCCACCCCGGATCATCTACACAATCCTCCCATACCTTGATTACATGCCGAGTTCTCCTACCCCTCAAATATCTACAGAGTCTCCCACTCACTGGATCACTGAAAGAATCTCGCCATTCTGCGATAATGTAGAAACTCTCCTCCTACATTCCAATTAAGTGCAGTGTCTCACCTTCATAAACATGTACAGCATCTCCCTCACACCTCTCTGCTGGATCAGTTACAAATTCCCTCTTGTCCCATTCACTGCCAGGTCCCTCACTAACAGGGGAATGTTCAAACATGATTCCTCCCATGACCTCCTAACCCTTGTCATGACCAGGTGGTTAATCTGATCTGATTGTCAGACAGGACTCTTGGTTCTTTTGTTGAAATAATACCTCACTGTTAAGAAGGACAGTGTTTTCACATCCTTAGCTTTGCTGGGTCCCTTGCCCGTTATCAGAGTACCATGTGGATTAATGTGCAAGCCATAAAACAGGGTGGCACAGTGGTTAGCCCTGCTACGTCACAGAACCAGGGACCTGGGTTCAATCCTAACCTGGGGTGACTGTGTGTGGAGTTTGCACGTTCCCCTCGTGTCTGTGTGGGTTTCCTTGGTGTACTCTGGCTTCCTCCCTTAGACTAAAGATGTGCAAATGAGGTGGATTGGCCATGCTAAATTGCCGTGCAGCATCCAGGGATGTGCAGGTTAGGTGGGTTAGCCAAGGTAAGTATGGTGATAGGGTCTGAGTAGGATGCTCTTTGGAGGGTTGGTATGGACTCAATGAGCAGAACAGCCACTTTCCACACTATAGGGATTCTATGACACCCATATTGCTTGTCCAGGGTTCTGCATTGTGTTGTGTAAAGTAATGGCTCTGAAGGGGTTAATGTTCATGTTACACTGGATCCACCCATTCTACTGATGTCACGCACAGTCTGTGAGCATCTATCTGTACCAGCTCCCTAAGGTCCTGGTAATTATTCCTGACCAAATATTGTACTTCTTGCTATCATTCAATAAACCTTCTAATCATCTCCAAACAGTGCCTCTTTGTTCGATACTTGTGTCTCCCTTTTTTTTTGCAAAAATATACTTTATTCATAAATTATCCATAAATAAGTACAAAGGATCCAAAACAGTTGAATCCAGACTTTGCAGAAAATCCAGTGGAATTTTGACATTCCTCATTAGAGCATTAATCCAGTTGCAACAAAACAAGGCATTTTAAAAATATGGAAGGAAACTATTTACATTACCATTAAGGCTATGAGGATGTTGCAAAACATAACAGGCCCCCATTATATTTTGGCAGAAAGACCTCAGAAGGCAATCTTTTCCCACTGCGCCTTAGCAGCAGCTGTCCCAAGCTTTAATACGATTCTCAGCAGTTAGTCCTTGACCTTGGAATGGGGCAGTCTGCAACACTCTTCACGTGGGAAGACCAACAAGTTTCAAGCAGACTAATATCCTCTACCATTAATCACTAGATAGGCCCAAGACAAAGCAAAGATAAAGGTGGGAGCACACTACCTCAAACAACCCTTATCCAGTACCACAGACAGGTAGAGGTGGCAAATACCGACAAGTGATCATCTGGGGAAATACCACAGATTACTAGTCCGGTAATATAACTGCAATACAACCATTCCCTTAAGGAATATCTATGTCACTACTGCCAGACTTTGCAACCTCCCCTTTGAAGGTGGCAAATGTGTTCCAACAGCCTGCTTTTCGAGACCAATGGCTACTTACATTTTCCTTCTCTCCTTCATCACTGTTTGTATGGTATGCTGTACGTTCAAAATCAGCGTCATCACATTTTCTGGAACACCAAAATAAAAAGATCACTTAAATTCATGTTCTATTACACAGTGTAATTTTTTTTAACATCCCTAATTATTGGTTAAACTGCATTTTAGACATCCCTAAATGATTGCAAATGACATAATATAACATTGAACTTGGACAAATCCTTTAATTTTTTCAGAAGGGAACTGGCAATTCTAACATAACATACTAAATCATATACCACAGTGTCTTAAATCACTGTTTTAAAACTCTAATAAGAAAACATAACTGAAAAAGACGCAACATACATCCTCCATAATGTGGTTTACTTGGGGGGGAGGTGATGGCCTAGTGGTATTATCACTAAACTGTTAATCCAGAGACACAGGTAATGTTCTGGGGACCTGAGTTCAAATCCCACCATGGTAAACAGTGGAATTTGAATTCAATAAAAATCTGGAATTAAGACTCCAGAGTCTAATAATGACATTGCTGATTGTCAGGGGGGGAAAAAGAAATCTATCTGGCTCACTAATATCCTTTAGGGAAGGAAACTACCAGTCTGGCCTAGCTGTGACTCCAGACCCACAACAATATGGTTGACTCTTAACTGCTATTTGGGCAGTAAATGCTGCCTAGCCAACAATGCCCTCATCCCATGAATGAGTTAAAAAAAATCCAACTCTCTAAATATTAATTACCTTAGCATGGTTGTCAGGTAGAAACAAATAACTTGAGAATTCTCATTCCATAATAAACAAAGCAATTCTGATAAAAATGATTAAGTCAGTATCCATGTTGCAATACTAATTTTTCTGAGAATCTAAAGCTGTACAATTTTGGATACACTGGTACTTTCATTTCAATAAAATTAATTTGATATCTGATATGAATATTATTATACAAATTATAAATAGAATAGGCAACAATGATTAAATCATGTGAAGACATTTGCAATTATGTTGCATACAAAAAGTAGATGATAAATGTGTACCTTTGCAGTCCACCCAGTGTAGAGTCTTTGAGTTTGGAGCCACCAGAATTGTTGCTATCTTTAGATTCCAGATTATCCATTCCAACGTCCAGTTCAGCCTTTGGAAAATTGCAGATGTCTAACCAAAAATTTTCAATTTGGTCTTGCAGTTACTTCAACCTGTTCAGACTGACACATGACAGCATTACTCAGTGAAAGGAGAAACAGCACATTTAAAAGAAATGTGTCATCTCTTGGCTAGTCAGAGCAAGATCAAACTTTCTATTAATAATCTGTTTTCTTCTGTGCAATTAATGAAAATAACAGTGAAATAGTACTTCAGTTAAAGACGCAGAAGACAAGAAACCCAAAATTAACACTTGACTAAATCGCTCTGGTTTGCTGGAATGTGCAGATGATTCTCTGCAGCAGAATATTCTCTTAGTAAGAGAGATGCGGAAAAGCTGACAACACATTCGTACATAGATAACAAAGTGTAGAGCTGGATGAACACAGCAGGCCAAGCAGCATCATAGGAGCAGGAAGGCTGACGTTTCGGACTAACACATTCGTACAACTATGTAAACATATAGGTTAGGAGCATCTATTCTGTATGCTTGCTGAATGACAATTTTGCTGAACGTAAGAACTGCAAAGGATTTAACAAAAATGTTCAGCATTTCAAGAACAATGTGCAGAGATTACATTGAAATAAACCTGTTTATTGTTTATTTTTAATTAGGGCAAAAGCCTAGAAATTTTCAGAAAAAAAAAGGATCAATTTAGTCACTGAAAAGCAGAAACTGAAGTGGACCAGGCACACAGCTACTGTGGCCACAACTGCAGTTCAGAGGATGAGTATTTCCCAGTAATTTACTCATCTCCTGTCTCCCCACTATCTGTCCATCATATACAAGGCATAAGTCAGATGTATAGTGGGATACATTCCTGCCTAGATGGGTACAGCTCTAATAACACTCACGAAGCTAAACATCTCCCAGCACAAAGCGGCCTGTTTGATTGAAACCCCATTCATTACTTTATACCCTCTCCATCATCACTGAACCACGTGTACTATCTACAAGATGCACTGCAGCAACTCAGTGAAGCTTCTTTGATTGCATCTCTCAAACCCATTCTCTCTTAACAGAGAAAGGCAAAGGCAAAGGATGATTGGAACACCACCACTTGCAATTTTCACCTCTGATTCATACCCACATTCTGACTTGAAAATTTATCAGCATTCCTCCACTGTCACTGGATCAAAACCTTCAAAATCCCTAACTAACAGCTCTATTGAAGCATTATTACCACATTGAGAGCAGCGGTTCAACAAGGTGGCTCATCACCATTTTCTCAAAGGCAATTCAAGATGGACAATAAACATTGGCTTTGCCTGCAATACCCACATTCCATTGACGAATACAAAATAAACACGTGTATTCGACTTGAGTCCACATGTAAAACTTCACCAGAAAAAGGAACACAGTGTTAGAGGGCTGGAGAACAGCTCAAGCAGTTGATATCTTCAGTATGGGAGATAAAACTAAGGAAGGCTTGGACCAACTTACTTAATAGCAGTGTTAGAAAGTAAATTAGAAAAATATCAGTTAGCAAAACACCTCAAGAAGGAGATTATCAAATATAATGGATTTCTAAAAAGAAACGTAATGTTTATTGAAGCTTACTGAATTATTTGAAGAAATAACATGAAGAAGGACAATATACTGGTGTGGTACATAAGGCTTTTCAGAGAGACTTTGATAAGGTGCCATAAGAGAAATGAATGACAAAGATTAGGGTGTGTGGACTCAGGTACCCGATTATAGAATGTATTGACAGACGATGGGAAAACAGATACTAAGATTTAAAGGTTGGTCTTTTGGACAGGGAGAAAGGGGTGCTCCCAGGATTCTGTGCTGGGACTATGGTTGTTTACCATCTGCAGAAATGAGGTAGTATCAGAAATCAGATGTGTTGTATTACAATTTGTAACTGATAACAAAATGGGGCAAGGGGTGTAGCTGGATAAACACCAAAAGACATAAAACGGCCTTCAGAACGGAGGGATAAAGGACAACTGGAAATGAACATATTGAAGTGTGAACTGGTTCATTTTGGCAGACGGTCACATCTTCCTTAGAAGGTAAGGAACTAAATGGGGTAGAGGAGCTAAGAGATCTATGAATGCAGTTTCATAATGCAATGTCAAGTAGCAACACAAGTCAAGAAGATCAGAACGGTTGCAGACAAATTATAGTTCTTAACATTCAAAAAATGCACTAAATTATGTAGGTGTCAGGCTGGATCACAATGTGGAGTGTACTGCAGCAGCCTTTCCCTCTGTATGTTTTGTCTCTTCCTGCCAATGCAATTTGCCCACTACACATTGTGAACAGTAGAAGTATGGTAGGCTGCAGTAATGAATAACTATAATATGTTATTGAGCAACCATCTAACTAAACATACAAATGTACAAATTAGGAACAACAGTAAGCCCTTTGGCCCCTCAAGCCTGCACCATCATTTAATAAGATTTAATAATGGCTGATTACTCTGCATTCCTATTTGGCCCCAGTAACTCACCCCCTTTGCTTATCAAAAATACACCAATCCTTGCCTTAAGAATATTTAAAAATTCTGCTTCAACCACTTTCGGATGCTTTCTTAAGTAAGAAAACCAATACAGAACACAGCTGTAGTAGTGTACACAGTTGTGGCATCACCAATGCCCTGCTCCATACTGTTGTATTTTTTTTTGCCCTTATTCATTTGTGGGATGTGGGCATTGCTGGTCAGAATTTATTGCCCATCCCTAGTTGCCCTTGAGAAAATGGTGATGAGCTGCCTTCTTGAACCACTGCAATCCACATGCTGTGGGTTGACCCACAATATCCATAAGGAGGGGATTCCAGCCCAGTGACAGTGAAGGAATGGTGATCATAGAATCCCTACAGTATGGAAACAGGCCACTCAGCACAACACACCCACACCAACCCACCAAAGGGCATCCCACCCAGACTCATCCCCTTACCCAATCCCTGCAGTTCCCATGGTTAATACACCTAACCTAGGCATCCCTGGACACTATGAGGCAATTTCGCATACACATCTTTGGACTGTCAGAGGAAAACAGAGCACTCAGAGGATACCCACAGGGAACATGCAAACTCCACACAGACAGTCGCCCAAGGCAGGATTTGAACGCATGTCCCTGGTGCTGTGAGGCAGCAGTGCTAACCACTAAGGCACTATGCCACCCAAGTCAAGATGGTGAGTGGCTTGGAGATGAACTTGTACGTGATGGTATTCCCGTGTATTTGCTACCCCTGACCTTCCAAATTGAAGTGGTTGTGGGTTTGGAAAGTGTTGTCTGAGGATTTGTGGTAAATTTCTGCAATGCAACTTGTAGATGGTACACACTGCTGCTACTGAGCGTCGGTGGTAGAGGAGAAGGTGTTTGTGGATGTGGAGCCAATCAAGCGGGCTGCTTTGTCCTGGATGGTGTCAACCTTCTTGAGTTTGGTGGAGCCGTACCGTCCAGGCAAGTGGGGAGTATTCCATTACATTTCTGACTTGGGCCTTGTAGATGGTGGACAGGCTTTGGAGAGTCAGGAGGTGAATTACTCATCACAGTAGTCCCAGCTTTGACCTGCTCTTGTAGTCACTGTGTTTATGGGGTGAATTCAGTTGAGTTTCTGGTCAATGATAACCCACAGGATGTTCGTATTGGGATTCAGCGATAGTAACACAATTGAATGTCAAGGGACGGGGGTTAGTTTGTCTCTTATTGATGATGATCATAGCCTGCATTTGTGTGGCGTGAATGTTAATTGGCCCTTGTCAGCTCAAGTCTGGATATTGTCCAGATCTTGTTGCATTTGAACATGGGCTGCTTCAGTTTGTGAAGAATTGCGAATGGTGCTCAGCATTGTGCGATGATCAGTGAACATCCCTACTTCTGATCTTATGGTGGACGGAAGGTCATTGATGAAGCAGCTGAAGATGGTTGTGCCAACGACACTACCCTGAGGAACTCCTGCAGCAGAGGTGACTGACCTCCATCACAAAACCATCTATTTGCCAGGTATGACTCCAACCAGTGGAAACTTGACCCCGATACCCACAGATTTCAGAGCTTGTAGGAACTGCCGATGCTGGAGAATCTAAGATAACAAGGTGTAGAGCTGGATGAACACAGCAGGCC